TTTATTCTTAATGATTACATTCCAGAAAGCAATATGTTTAGCAGCTGTTTTTCAGAAGGCTTGTCAAGTTTTACTATTGTTATTTAATCCAGGCATACTGTGTAACCTTAAACAAAAGCTGTGTACCATTCAGCCAACTAGTAACAAATTATCCTAACAGACCAGATTCTTATCTTTTGTTTCATACATGAATTTTTGCCCTATTAGATATTTTGTACTCCAATTTTTATTTCAGAACTTAGTGCACACATAGAAAGGGAAAGAAACCCTTTTGGGTGTTGGTAATTATGTCCACCAAGTAATGTTATATATGAAATTAAATTCTAAAAGCAGACCACAAAACTGGGATTCATGACACCATTTCTACCAATGGGAGAAAACAGGAGACACAAAACCAGAATAATTCTTTAGAAGCACACTGTTATCAATTATGTGTTATAGCTAAAGCATAAACATACATAATTGAAGAGTTAATCACCAGTAAGATTATGATCTAACTCTGAGACCAATAAGAAGTTAAGAGTTAATAAATACTTATTCTGACATTCACCAAGGGAATGATTATCACCTAAATGAGTTTTCTGACCTTTTTTTTTTTTTAATTAGGCAAAAGGGCAATGACAAATGGCAAATGTAGCCCCTTAAAAAGGAGATAGGGATCAAACCATTTTTCTTCCCAAGCAGAATGGGATCAAGAAAAAAGAAGCTTAAATTGCTCTGTGAGGTATTTCAGTTCTAAGATTAAATTTCCTGATAACAAGGAGTTTACAACCCTGGAATTACCTATTGGGAGAGAGAGAAAATACCTTTCCTGAAGTATGTAAAGAAATGGATTTCATTTTCACTGTAGTTAGAAAAAACAAAAAAACAAACAAACAAACAAAAAGAAATGGAAGGGTGACTGAGACCATAAAGCCCAAAGGCAAAAAGATGGATCAAATAAGTGACTTCCTTTTAAGGCACCCTTTCAGAAATGGAGTTCTTTTCTTCTTCGAACCCAAGAAGGTTTCTTTGTTTTGTCCCTAAGGATCTATACTTGTATCAGAGCATCCAAAATTTGCTCTTAATTAAAGAGAAAAGAACTAATATTTGAGTGCGTACTATACTTTGAATTTATCTCATCTGATTTTCACAATAATCCTGACAGGTCCATCTCATAGATGAGAAAATTGGTGCTCAAGATACTTGTGCTTTGCCTGAAGTGGCAGCTAATTTGTGGCATACTAGGATGCCTCATACCTAAACTAGCATTCCCCCTTCCATACATCACTCTCTGAAGTGTCAAAGTCACCAGTCACCAAAGATTCCAACTGGAACTAGAACACATTATCTCCAAAAATTCTACTTCAAATCAGTGGGAAAGTAAGATTTTGACGCATACCTCAGGAAGTCAAAGAAATGGTGGCTAGCCTTTGTGCTCTGACCTCTTATCCAAGAGCCAAAGTCTCACCCATGTTCAAGTATGTCTCTTTCTCACCACACTGATTCAAAACCAATGACTTTTTAAAAAAAAAAAAAAAAAAAAAAAACAAGGAAGAGCCATTTATTAGCCTAACAAGGCTGAAAGTTGTTTTGCAGAATTATTGTGTCATAGACTTTATTAGCAAAAATTGCCATCTAATTTCCAAATCAAAGTCCTATGTTTTATTACTTTCTAAATGAAGCAATTTGGTCTTGGTTCTTTTAAACTCATGCTTTCTCAAGAAAATCAAACCAGCTAACCAAATGTCGTTTGAAACTTTTCTAAAATAGATCTTGGGGACTGCTTTATGCCAATGACCCACCTGCCCGTCTCTCATGGGAGCTGCAAAACTTCATTTTGGTCTATTGGAATTTGGCATATTGGATCTTACTGGCAGATTTTGCTCTGCTAAAAAGGCCTGTCCTGAAATCCTGAAGAGATGCCCATTCTTCATTAAACTGAGCAAGACCTACGTTTCGCAAGTGATAAATGAATAATTTCATGGAACTTCTACAAAGACACTACTTTTTGGATTTTTACCTCAAGAACAAGTTTGTGATTTCAATGGGACATCAGTGAATGGACTGACAAGGCAAACACAGCTTATGGCATGATGGCAAGCCAGGCTCTTGGCCTCCTGACCCATAACCAACTCCTTCCTGGAAAGCAGGATGCACTGCTAGCAGAAGAGAAAAGCTCCTTTAAAAAAATCATTAGCTATGGTTCAACAGACAGTTAATTAAACATGTTATGTGGGGTTAAGTACTGCAACATAGAATTTTAGGTGAATAGGTCATCTGGTCCCATCCCCAACCAATGCTTGGATTCTCTCTACATCATTTTTGACAAGTTCTTATCTAGCCTCTGCTTGACATAGGCTATTACCTGAGGCAGTTTATTCCATGGTGAACCAACTTTTTGAGAATCTTCTCCCTCATATGGAGCCCAAATCTGTGCCCCTATGGCCTCCTTCAGTGGGCCTCATTCCACCCCTTTGAACCATAGAACATCTTGCTCTAATGGACTAATTGTATTCCCCTCTGTTTACTCAGCTAAATCTCCCCCAAATCCTTCAAGTATTCTTTAAACTTCTTAAATTTTAAATTCCTTCACCAGGCTGGTAATACCTTAATTTGTTTTTAATTTCAGACTATGGCTCCTAGAAATGGTTGTATTAATAACATTCCAACATCATGGGACTTAGGAAAGGAGATAAAGTACCATCTCCCTTATTCTAGCATTACTATATTAATTAGCAGTTTGAAGGGATGATAACTTCTTAATTCAGTATGAAGAAATTACCAGTGTGAAGAATGTAAGGAAAGGCATCTTTCCTTCCAAACACAAATAGGCTCATGTCACAGAAATGAAATCCAAATAGAATAAACACATCATTCCCTTATCCCAAAATCAGTGTTTAACCATATTACTTATATGGGATACATTTTGTCTGAAGGATGAGATGCAAATGTTATTTCAGCTTTTGATTCTCTGGCTAAGTCTCAAAAGTATTATCATGGTTACATCAAAACACATCTGTCAGGACCATGATTGAGGAAAGTAAGCAACCACTTGCAGTTAAAACAAGTCCAAAAAATCTAGAAAAAAAGGCAAATCCTAGCAGAGCTTTCCTGGAGGCTAATAGAGAAATGATCCCTAAGTATTTATGACCATGAAATAAATACACAGAGTTCTACAGGATTAAGAAATGTCTATCTTTAAGGCCATTGGTTTGATATGCAGGAAAAAAAAAGTTTTTTTTCTAATTATAAGAAGATATCTCATTCACATGCCTTGGTTTAAAAAAAGTGTTTCCCTGTAATCCTAGCACTTTGGGAGGCTGAGGCAGGCAGATCGTTTGAGCTCAGGAATTCAAGACTAGCCTGAGCAAGAGTGAGACCCTGTCTCTACTAAAAAAATAGAAAGAAATTAGCTGGACAACTTAAAATATATAGAAAAAATTAGCCGGGCATGGTGGCACATGCTTGTAGTCCCAGCTACTTGGGAGGCTGAAGCAGAAGGATCGCCTGAGCCTATGAGTTAGAGGTTGCTGTGAGCTAGGCTGATGCCACGGCACTTTAGCCCAGACAACAGAGTGAGACTCTGTCTCAAAAAGAAAAAAAAAGATGTTTCACTTTAGTTAGAGGACCAATTCAAAATCATTTGCAACTGGTATTTATTCAGAACAGAAGTCACTAATTGAAACTGGATGCAGTAGAATTAGGGGATAAAGAGTGAATGAGGCAAATCACTGACCTAACACTGAGGAAGTCACCAGTGTCCTCCAAAGGCATACATTTGTGAACAGAAGATAAGAATCCAGTCCTATGTTGAATCTGCCTCTTTCCTCCAACAAGTCTAAATGGCTTAAAATAATCCTAATCCAAATATCTTATTTTGGTCAGTGGTTTTTACCTTTCTTACAAACTCTAAATCAGAACTTGACAGATTGTCAAGTCAATCCATTCAAGTTTCATTTTTAGTTATTTTCTTGCCAATTTACTTAGGCAGAGATATTAACATGAAATGACTAAAAGACAGGGAAAAAGAAAGGCCAGGAAAAACCAAATGGCCTAGCCTACATAAGCCACAAAAAAGATATTTGGCCCTATATAGTCAAAAGATAAATGTTAATATAATTCAACAGATCTAATAAAAGCATAGAAAGGAGAAAAAGCCTTCCATGGGCAAAGAAGAAAGCACAAAATCTTTTGATATAGTCTACACAAAGCCATAATAAAATATCATTAGCAAACTATGATTTCACAGATTTTCCCAAGCCTGATTCTATTACATGAATATCATGTGTTTCCATTGGAAACTGAAAAAAGTTTTGCCCTATATTTAATAACTTTATTAAAAAAAGAAAAAGGTTACATCAAAAATAGAGACCTGGAATCTGGTAGTCTTATTAGTCAGACCAAGCCAAATTAAATTACAATAAAGCAACTCTTTTTCAACTACCATTAAATGAGAATTCATTTTTATCTAAAGAAGGCTCATCTTAGGAAATATTGCCATGACAAGAAAAACCATTAGGCAAACCAATTAAGTTTAGGTCCTGGCCAGTGTGAAGATGACTTCATTTAATTAGTGTCCTTTCTCAAGTTCTACTTGAAGGAATTTCTGTTTAACTAAAAAAGTCCCTCTTGGCACTAAATTGTTTATTCAACTAATATTTATTGCACCTACAATATTGTCAGGGATTGTTCTCAAACTTGAGATATATCAATGGACTAGTGTCCATAAGGCCTAATCTGGAATTCACACAACTAAGAAAAAAAGAAACAAAGTCCCACATTCTCATGTGTCCCTGCTGATGGGCCATGGATGGGTGACTGTAAGCTACAGAAAGGCTGGGAGGAGTAACAGGGAAGACAAGGGCCAAGAGAAGAGCTTTCTAATCCCCTTCTGAGTCTGGCCAAGGGTATAAAGAGGAGGCTAAACCCTAGGGAATGAGAATTTCATAATAAAAGTATGGCCCTAAAACCTGTTATTTTGCAACTACATTGGTCCAATCTCATAAAACACATTCCTCTAAGTTCACAAAGCAACTTTATTTTCAATACACTTGCTGCTGTGAGACAAAGTTGAGTCATCATGTGCTGGGGACATTGCACTTTTGCCCTAAATGAAAGGTAATAAATCTAAAGTTAGGGACATTTCCTCACAGTTTAAAAAGCGAAATTCTTCTGCCCACTTTGATTAACTTGTTTTCTAAATACCTTTACTTGCTGGCTTAGTGGAGAAGATGGGGAGGGAAAGTTACAATTATTATAAATTGTTTTGATTTTTATTAAAATGATTTTTCTTTCCTGTAGAGGCAGATTCTAAAAGCAAAACAAGTCAAACTTCCGGAATCCCTTTCTCTTTCCCATAGGATCGGGAAAAACACAGTGAGGGCAATCAAACATATCAGTCCCTTACACAATATATATAATCCCATGAGCAAGAGATTGGTCACTCTGGAACCTGTTAGAGAAATGCTAGATGCTTTATCAATATCATGTCCCTGTGTCACTCATTTCTTTACAATTAAATAGCTTTTAAACATCAACATATCAGGACTGAGGTTGTCACCATCTACAGCAACAGTGGAATTGTATACTACATCTTATTCCATTACTCATCCCTCAGTTATGCTAAGCAGCAAACTACAGAAACCTCTGACAGCATCAACAACATAACAGGTTTAATTATTTTCCCAATTTGCATTTATATCAGAGAACAAATTGGAAGATATCAAAGTATGGCACTGAAGAAACAGAAACACATTCAGCAGCACATCTTCCATTTTGAGTCCTGTTTTAAAATTGGCTAAGTAAAGGCATATACACCTCCATTTGAATTGGAGATTTGCAGTAACACATGCATACAAGGATGGGAGGGAAGAAGTGGGGGGAGGGAGGGAGGAAAGGAGAGAGAGACCAGGAAAGAAAGGAAAAGAAAAAGAAACAGGAAAGAGTGTATGGTCATTGAGTCTCAGAGTAACATTATTACAAGAGGGGATAAATGACAGTTCAACCTGCTTCCACAAGCAGAATTTTTCTAAGGTTATCATTGAAGATACAAAAATGGATCGTGAAACTTTTCATCTGTTGCTATTCTCACTGATCATACTATAAAAATCTACAAAATCCTAAGCCTTGGTCTGTCCAAGATGGACAGTACCAGGAAGTAAATGTGATGTGACCTGCTATCTAGGACTGTGCTCTGCTTGAAACCCTGCACTGCAGTCCATTAATCCACAGTATTTTGGTCATATCTGGTCAGTTTTCTCATACTACTCATGTTTTAGATATCGTCCATATCTGTATTATTTTTTTCATTTTTCAAATTTTTTCATTTACTTAAAGGGCAGGAAGATAAGAGAGTAGAAGAAAATGGTAGAGATTCAATGGGGAACATGAAAGGAAAAGTACTCTCTTTTCTAACAAATCCACCTTTAAAAAGGTAGTAATGAGACTTTGCGAAAGAGTGCTGATTCATGGACTTCCCCCATTTTTTTATTTCTATATAATACATTTAAAGACATCAATGTACTAAAACGTTTGGTCTGTGAAACAGCAGAATCATTAGCACCAAAAGGAGTCATGGAGCTTGAATATATTATTAAAACAATGATTGTTACTGTTGGTCATGGGTAAAGGTTTCGTTTCGTTTTTACATCCCAAAGTTCTTGAAAGTGCCTGTGGACAAGAGAAATAACACTTTTCAAAATCCCCACGGGGTCATCAATATGCACCACAGAGACAGTACTTGGCCTTCCCAGTTTTGGTTTACCTGGTAGACAAGAAAACCAGGGCCCCTAGAAGATTACTACTGAAGCCCTAAAGAACAGCCCCCACATGCACCCACTGACGTGCAGGAGGGATCCCTACAGTACATTCCCCCCTGGGCTGTGTTCAGGAATGCACTTTTACTTGCTTTTTAAAAAAACAAAAGCAACATGCTCTGCAGATCATGGAGTGCCTAGTGCAATTTTCTCCTTGCTCCAACTCCAGACTGCAAAAGGGTGAAACCATTATATGTTCTGCTAATGCTGGCCTGCGGTTGAGGCCCTTGGCCTGCCATGCTTTGTAAGCTCAGGAGCTCACAGGAGTCAGAAGATCCGAGAGCGGGAGCCACAGTCATCTCCAGATCTCCCCAGTAACGTGTGGCCCATAGGGCAGCTGCTGATTCCTTTTGCTTCTCCTTGCCTCAGCCTTTAGTTGAAATTACAACAAGTCAAATAGCTGATGCTTTTCCCTTCTCCAGGTAAGGGTGAGGATACATTGTTCACAAGTGTGTTCTGTCTGGCTTCACTGATGAGTCGGCATGCTAAATCAAGGAAGAGTTTCTCCACATTATCAGATTCCTTGGCTGAGGTCTCCAGGTAATACATGTCCTGAGCTTCTGAGAATTCTTCGGCTCTCTGCTGGGAGACCTCTCTCCTTTCAGCCAGATCAATCTTGTTGCCTGTAACAGCAGCAAAATCAAAGGAAGAATCATCATTTGACTTTTTGCAGCCCCTGAAGAATCAAAATGCAATTCCAGATCTGAAGTCAAACCAGACAGATGGGCGAGTAAAGCAAAGCCAATATGACTATGGTTACTAAAATGTTTATTTTAAAATGTGAGTGACGTTTTTAACAGCAAAGAACTGGAAACAACTCAAATGTCCATCAGTAGGGCACTGACTGAATAAACTATGGTACATCCATACAATGGAGTATTTGCCACTATAAAAAACAATGAGGGATGTTTTCATATACTGCCATAGCATGAGTACACTAGGATACACTGTTCAGCAAAAAAAAAAAAAAAAAAGCAGCAAAATATATATAATGTGTAACATCTATTCAAGAAAAAGGAAATAATATGAATATATATTATGTACTTTATTCCCTTTTTAAATGGAAACACAAATCAAAATCTAAGTTTAAAAGATAAGGTTACCTATGAAAGGAACAAGGTTGAGGGGACAGAGAGGTCTGGATAGAAACCAGACCTCTCTGAATATACTTTATTTTGTAGGTTTGACTTTAAAAACCTATAAATGTTTTATATAATTATATAATTAATTATAATTATACAATATAAAATTAAATTCAAAAAGCAATTCCTAAAAGTTGAAAGCAAAATTAAACAAATGAACATGTTTTTCATGTAGTGGTATAACCACACGGACAGGAACTATTTCGAGTGAGTTTAAGATACATTAATTTAACCATGCATCTGTATTGGCATATACCCTAAGGACAAAAAGAACTGAAGGAAAAAGTCTTGATTTCAGTAATCATTTTGGTGGTGGTAGTCTTGGTATTGTTATTCTGAGGCTGGTATATGTGTGTTACAAGATAAAGTAAATGAGTAATTATGCTGGTGTCATTGGGAACTGGAATTTTGGCATGAGAAAAAGGCAATATAGATATAAGATTGATGAGGTTAAGTACATATCTGCAGTCCTGAATTATAAATAGACATATCAGTGTGAATAATTCATAGTGTATTTTATCTTTAAAAAAGTTTTCTACTTCTACTGTCTGGGAAACTTTACAAAGGTGATATGTCAATTGTGTTACCTGGCAATATTGCTTATGGTAAAAATGCCTGCTGATTGATAAATTACATCAGGTCTTGGAATTCTATCTATGGATTATAAATACCTAGTGGAAAGCCATAACTTTGGGCTTCTCTGAATGTGGTGATGAGACTCTGAACATTAGGACTATGGAGTTGTTATAAGAGATATTGGCTCCTGTGGGGCATTGAGGTGTCTAGGCCAGAGCAGATCCTGCACTTGCCTGAAGTGAGCCTTGTTCCCTCACACTTGACTTGTCTTGGAAAGCTATGTGGACTGCTATGAGTATTACTCCCACCAAAGAAGGATGCCTGCTGCTGGCCTGCTGTTAAGCCATGTTTCCTGTCCTGTAACCTTCTAAATGAACATGATGCCACACGTGGTCTATGATAGTCTTGTGAATCAGAACACCTAGTAGAGCCTAATAAGACAACCTTTTTGTAGATACTATGGAATTTACCACACCCCCCACACGCATGCATGCACGCACACACACACACGCACACACATGCTTTACCCACTGAAAAGCCTAAAAATGATGACCAACCCACTAGTCAGAGGGACTCCTAGAACCCAGGTTTTAGCCTCTAAACACAACTTCCTGTTTAAAAAAACAGCACTTCTAGAAGAAATGATTAATTCCAGGTCTGGGGCAAGAAGTGCACAAGATATGGCTTGAACACTTACACCAGAAAGCAAAAAAATTATCAAAGATTTCTGGGGTTATGTCAAAAGGACTCAGAAGCCCATGTGAAAAAGCTTCCACTGTAAAAGATGGAAAAATTGGAAGAGCAATAATAATAATTGCAAGGGACAGGAATATATCAAATATATCTAACTCCATAAGTTCATTATGATATTAAAAATATACACAAATTTCAATAGTTACTTTTGAAACAGACTAGAGAACCAACTTATTACCTTGAAAAGTGGTAAATAAAAAAGAAAGAATCAAGCATTCTTGCCTGTCCTATAAGAACTGTACCTCAGAATACCATATATGTAGTCTTTTGGCTAACAGGAAAAAAAAACAAAAAACCTGAATCTCATCAGACCTCTAGATTTACCTATAAATCTTCAAAAAATATAGGTGATAGAGGAACATGTCAAATGATACCACAGAAGTGAAACAACAAAATTTAGACGTATAAAGTCTGTAAGACAAACACTTTTTTTTTTTGAGACAGAGTCTCACTTTGTTGCCCAGGCTAGAATGAGTGCCGTGGCGTCAGCCTCACTCACAGCAACCTCAAACTCCTGGGCTCAAGCAATCCTGCTGCCTCAGCCTCCCGAGTAGCTGGGACTATAGGCATGTGCCACAATGCCTGGCTAATTTTTTCTATATATATTAGTTGGTCAATTAATTTCTTTCTATTTATAGTAGAGACAGGGTCTTGCTCTTGCTCAGGCTGGTTTTGAACTCCTGACCTTGAGCAATCCACCTGCCTCAGCCTCCCAGAGAGCTAGGATTACAGGCATGAGCCACCACGCCCGGCTATTAATTTCTTTCTATTTATAGTAGAGACGGGGTCTCATGCTTGCTCAGGCTGGTTTCGAACTCCTGACCTTGAGCAATCCACCTGCCTCAGCCTCCCAGAGAGCTAGGATTACAGGCATGAGCCACCACGCCCGGCTATTAATTTCTTTCTATTTATAGTAGAGACGGGGTCTCATGCTTGCTCAGGCTGGTTTCGAACTCCTGACCTTGAGCAATCCGCCTGCCTCGGCCTCCCAGAGTGCTAGGATTACAGGCATGAGCCATGGCACCCCGCCAGACAAACAAACACTTTAGCAATAATTCTAAGAGAGGAAAAAATAGAAGGAGAACCTACAAACAAAAGGAGAATTAAAAGACGTAATCATTGTGAAAAAACAATCTTTAAAAAAAAGAAAAAGACATAATCAATTATAACACGTGGCCCTTATATGGATCTTGATTTGAACACACAAAAAATTCATGAGTCAATCAGGGAAATTTGAACATTATCTAAATTTTTTGAGGCTAAAAAGGAATTGTTAATATATTTTAGGTATGAAAATGGCATTGTGGTTAGGTTTTCACTTTAAGAATCTTATCGTTTAGAGATATACATAGATATTGAAGGGTGAATTAATATAACAACTGGGATTTGTTTCAAAATAATCTGAGGGGGAGGGTGGACAGAATAGACGGGGACAGAAAAAATAAGATTGGCTATAAGCTGATAATTACTGAAGCTGAGAGATATGTACATGGGGATTCACTGTACTGTTTCCCTATTTTTGCTTATGTTTGAAATTTTCCATAGTAAAAAGTTAATTATTTTTAAAAAGGCCAATGTCTCTTTCATATTGAACCATCTCCTCTCAAATCTTCATTTAACTTCCTTAGATAAAACCCCAAGTAGTAATGCTTTGACTCAAGATCTCAAGGGCTTCCTATGGAACAGAGAGAAAGCACAAGTCCAGAGCCAGGGGCTGTCAAATGATTCATGGCAAAGGTTTTCCCTTGTGCAATTGGGTTTTTAGGCCTGGGCACAGAGCACTAGCTCATAGAGAGGCACATACTTAACCCAGCAGCCTGAAGGAAAAGTCCAGCAATTTGTTACAAAGCAGAATATTACAGGTGGGCAACTACAGGGCTTAGAGTTGATCTTACATGCTTGTGACCTTGGGCAAAGAACTTCACCTCTCTGAGCCTTCCTTGGTTTCTTCATCTGTAAATTAGGGATAATAACACACAAAGTTCCTAGTATGATTCCTGGCTCTTATATACCATTTATAATGCTATATAAAGTGTTTACTTAGCTTACTGTTAACTATAGTTTGTAATTTAAGAATGTTTCTAAGGTTCTCTTTCCAGATTTCTAAAATTCAGGTCTAGAATATAAAGCAACATTCCTTCCTAGGAAGAAAACATTTAAACAACCAAACAGTTATTAACACTTTTTCCATTACAACTAGAGAAATTTTTAATGATCTGGTCCATTACATTGCAATTCTGTTTTTAATGGGTATATTTGTCACCACAGAAAACCAAGGGTTGTTTTCTTCTTTCCCCCCATAATAAACAGAGGTTCTATTTTCCTACAAGATGAAACAAACTGCGGCATTTCCCTTAGTGGATTCTTTCTAAAACATAGAATTTCTTAAATCAGCATAAATATTAGGAAGGAAAAAAATAACCAAAGTCCATTTTTGGGGCAATAAATAATTGCTTCAATAATGAATTCCTTATCAACTTAAAAGACATTTTACTTCTAGACCACCCATTAGCACCATCTTGTGATTAGTTTTTTGGTTTTTTTTTAATGTTCAGCAGCCCACATAACTTTCATGACCATCCAACTTCTTTCCTAGAACCTATGTTGATAGAAAAATGAGTTAGCAATGTTTTCTACTTTATTTTTTCTAAACCATCACCATGGGATAGGACCTATTTCATTTTCTCTTCAATTGTGGAAGAAGTAAATGTTGACTGCATGAAGTATATAGCTGTATCCTTGGAAGGTACCCAAGCACAAGCTTTACGCAACTACAAATTCTCTGATGCCCACCAATCAATTTCCCTCCTCTTTAGTCCTTACTTACCCACTAACACAGTGATGACTTTGTTGCTGGCATATTGCTCTATCTCCCGCAGCCACTCGGGAAGGCAACGGAAGGATTCCTCACAGGTAATGTCATAGGTGAGGATCAAGGCATTGGCGCTTCGGTAATAACTCTGGGTAATGGACCGAAATCTCTCTTGACCTGCCGTGTCCCAGATCTGTAGCTGTAAAGGCATAAGAGAAAGATCGGGTTGGAGAAGCAGAAAATTGCTTTTGTTTGGAAATGGGAACACCTTCACCCAAATTAGTCTGTGGTTGTTTTCTTCCCTAAAAAAAAGAAAAGCACTTATGATTTATTTTTTTCTTAATGTGTTGGGTGTATTTCTGGTTAGGGAGAGGGACTTGTTTCGTTTTTTGTTCTTCTCTTTGTTATTTAAGAGTTTCCTCTTTGTTTTTAAAAAATAAATTTTAGAAAAACTTATTGAGAGCATATCATGTGCCAAGCTCTATTCTAAGCATTTTTCAAGTAGTAACTCGCTTATTCCTCATAATAACCCAAAGAGGTAGGTACTATCACAATACCCATTCTCACATCAGGAAACTGAGGCACAAGGAGACTAATTAACTTCGCATCTCACAGTCAGCATGTTCCAGAGCCAGTTCAACCAGGCATTGTAGCTCCAGAGTCTATGCTCTTAACCACAATGCTGTATGACAAAAGACACAATGCAGAGCAAGTTGTCATCCTGTGACTGCTGCTAACTCAGTCAGCAACCGGAGAGGGGGAAAAATCCAACTTCACCACCTTTTCCAGTTCAAAATTCAAATGAACACATTAAGGTGTTATCTTTGTTAACAAAAATAGGAAGAGTGCCATGGCAGACAAAAACATAATTTCCCTCCACCACTTTTAAACTCTATGACCTTGGGCAAGTCACTTAATCTCTTTAGGCTTCAGTTGTTTCTTTTATAAAAAGGGGTTAATAATATGCAACCTGCTGAAAATTCACATTTTTCTGAAGTTATCTACCAGTTGTAAGATCTAATAATTGACAAAGAAGGCAAAAAACACTTGTTACTTCTCCTCTCTGAATTTCTCTGTATAGAGAACTGTTCAGAGAGACTGTTGAGTGTAGAACAAATCACAAGGACTTGAAAAATAAGAACATCAACAACAACAATCTTTCCCTCCTAACTGTATACATTTGCCAGGTCACAGGTGCACTAACCTCCATAGACATAATGTCACTTCTTCAGGGAAGGATCTGCAGAGCCCTCAGACTAGGTTAGGTTCCCTATCCCTTACCCTCCACAGTCTCTTTCGCAGCATCTCCTGTCATCCTCCCTCATGGCACCTGATGCACTTGAATCATTTGTTTTTTTGTAATCATTTGTTTAATAGTTGTCTTCCCCACTAGACTGAAAGCTTCATGAAGGGGAAGTCAGGATCCATTTTACTCAGCAAATACAATGTCTGGCAAATAGTAGATGCTCAAATATTTATTGACAGTCTCATTTAATCCTTACATCAGGCCAGGCGCGGTGGCTCATGCCAGTAATCCTAGCACTCTGGGAGGCCGAGGCGGGCGGATTGCTCAAGGTAAGGAGTTCGAGACCAGCCTGAGCAAGAGCAAGATCCCCATCTCTACTAAAAATAGAAAGAAATTAATTGGCCAGCTAAAACTATATAGAAAAAAATTAGCTGGGCATGTAGTGCCAGCTACTCGGGAGGCTGAGGCAGAAGGATTGCTTGAGCCCAGGAGTTTGAGGTTGCTGTGAGCTAGGCTGACGCCATGGCACTCTAGTCAGGGCAACAGAGTGAGACTCTGTCTCGAAAAAAAAAAATCCTTACAACAACTTAGTGAGGTAGCCAAGTTTATGCCTCCCCTTATTAATGGCAACTGTGTCCTAACTGGTCACTCACAAAGCTGAGACTGAGACTCTAGGTCTTCTATTCCCAATTGAGACTCATTCAATAGCCTTTGCCATTGAAGACTAATTTAAATATACATCTGTATCCAAAGAGGATGAATCAGCTGGTGTCAACCTGTACTCATACCAGCTTAGCTAAAGAGACTGCTGAGTGACAGATAGTCCCTGCCATGAATCAGCAGCACACAAAGGCTCTCCTTTGGTCTGCGGTTGCAGCTGTTCTTCAATGACATACATGAAAATCTGTGTATGCTGAAGGCGACCATACAGATGTTATGGTATTTCCTGGGACAAAAGCTATTTCTCTTTTCTGCCTCAAACCTAGGGACATGGGCCCTTCTCTGCCAGGATGTGTCTTAGAATAACAGACTATTATTATACATCCACCCTGAGCCTCTAAAACACTTGTTTTGAATGTTTTAATAGTCAAACAATTGTTTAAATACTGAAATATTGCCAAGATACATGCTACTTTCTTATAGGAGGCTGCCTGTTTCTAGCCTGGAATTGGATTGGACAGTTGATTATAGAGGCTATTAATATTCCACTGCCTTTATCACTCGACTTGGTTTCACTATTCTCTGCAATTCATTTGCTTCTTTTCAGCATTTACAGAACAATAATATATGCAGGGCACTGTGCTAGGCACAGAGAAGACACAAAGGTGAATAAAACATGATCCCTGATCTCAAAGAGCTCACAGTCTGTAGCAGGCATCCTCAAACTACAGTCCCCGTGAGCCACATGTGGGCCGCCTAGCACATTTATCCAGCCCTCCAGGTGTTTTTGCCGCCGCTGCCTGTCCTGCTTAGCAGCCGACTCGTCTGGGGCCCATGGTGCGCACTCTCTAATGGTCTGAGGGACAGTAAACTGGCCCCCTGTTTAAAAAGTTTGAGGACCCCTGGTCCATAGGGAGGACATACACATAGTTAATTAACAATAGTACAATATGAGATATTCTATTAAAGAGGCGCTAGAAGAAGAAAGTGTCTCCTAGTGTTAGTATCATGTTTTCAATACTGCAGCCATGGGCTTTCTAATCACTCTTAGCTCCAGCATAAAGCTACGCTGTTTGTCTACTCTCTTCTTTGCACTACTACTTAACCTCCATTGCCTAATGGTCACAATAATGCACTGCAATCATTGGTTTACTAGTCAGTTTCCTTACTAGACCGAGTTTTTTGAGGGCAAGGGCTGTCTCTTATTGGACCTTATACCCCCAGTGTCTTTCTAGCACAGTACATAGAATGTGGTGGGCACATTTGAATGATGGCTAATTAAAAGAACAAAGGATTGTAGAATCACAAAGGAGGGACTGATTGATTCTATTTAATAGATTAATAGAATATTAAAGAGGTCTTACAGATAAAATATTATTAGAGCTAGATGACAGTAAGTTCCTAGTGGGCAAAGGTGCTTTACCTACCACAGTGCTTGGCACAAAACATCTACTATATATAACATGGGATGACGGATGAATGGACAGACATAAGGCCGAAGGCATGAAATAGGTATATGTTCACAACCTCCTCTCTATGCAACATAGACCTGATTAGAAAAAATACAGCAAATCTCTCATTCTATTATAATTAATCTCTACAGTTAAAATTTTAGACTGAGCTTAGAGTTTGCTCATTACTCTTAATTTATGATAGGCTAAAAAAAAAATCAATGGATAAGCAAAACTTCTATACTTTTCCCTTTTTTTCCTATGCTAAAATAGCATAACAAAATTTATCTTCAACCACTTTAAATATAGTTCAGTGGTCTCACGTTTTAATTATATTTTCTACCCAAAGCACTTATAATGAACCCATTATAAGAGTAGGCTTCCTTTACTTTGCCTTTACTGATTTGCACTTACTTCGCCATAAGCTACAATAATCTTTCTAATAACTTGGATTCCCTGCCTTTAATCCTGGGAGCCATCCTAAAAGAATAATACTTGCAGGGAGCCAAGACATGATGAGAAATCAGAGAGAGGACCTGGCCTGCACTCCACCAGTGGTGATCCTGCATAAACAGCAGATTCTCTTTTGCATTCACTTTATGGGCCAAGGAAGCCTGCAAATGACTAGAAAAAACACTCAAACATCACCAAGTCAAGGTAGTCAGTACCTGTTAAAGAAACAAGGACAATAATAAGATAAAACTGGGCACTTCTGCCTCCTCAAATAAAGAAGTTACTCCTCATTTGTCCACATGTTAATGAGGCCCTTCAATTAATGTGATTAAAGAAAGGTCATCCTATATCTTGAGTCTACATATTGGGCTAGAAAGAATCACAGGCAAATGATTTGGACTGAATTGGAAGATTAGTCAATGCTCATTTTTTATAGAAAGATCCAGAAGCCTGAAGAGGGATTGGACAGAACTGTGCTGGGATACAAAGATGTGTAAGATGCAAACCTTTGCTCTTGGAGAGCCTGTGGCCTTATGGTGGAGTCAGATATTATAAAAAGATTAATTTTAGCAGAATGTAATAAGCACTTAGAAATAAGGTTATGTTGCAGAAAGTAGAATAAATGAATATCTATGCCTGAGGATTTAGGGTGAAAAAATAAGCCAGTTCTTTAACAGTAGGACCATTTCTTATTCACCCTTATTCATGCCCGTGCCTGGATGCAGTAGGCACTAAACATTTCTTGTCAAACAAATGAACTCACACACATATGCATATATGAATGGGAAATCCAAACATCTGGAAGTAAAATGCATGAAACAGTAGTTATCTTTACCTAACTCCCTGTGTTGGCAACCAGCTCCCCTCTGCTGGAACAACAGAAAGCTACAAGAGGCCCGTCCTGACAATGCCTCTTGAGCATACTCCTGTCTCCTTTCTGTCTCCACAGCCTAGCTCCTTCTCCCCACCCCAAACACAGTATTTTTTTCACTTTCTGTTTGGCATTTAAGTGGATTTATACCCTGCTTTTATCTTCCATTGTCCCAGCTCTCCATTCACTATTGTATTTGGTGTAGATGTCTATACCATCGAATTATTAATATTTTAAGGAGTCAGGGCTGGCAGAGACACTGGGAGAGCTTCTGTCCCCCTGCCAGGAGCCCCATCCTAAACACTTCTCTGTGATGGCAGGAATCTATAAAATGCTGCAAGAGCATCATGGAGCTTCTCTGACCTTCCCAGGGTACTCAAAGGAAGGAGTGCAGATACATATGGGAGAAGGATGCAAACAACATGGACCCAAACTTAGGATGACTAGATTGGGATCTAGCTAGAACTCTGATACCAGTTTTCTTCATGCTACTGATGGCTGGGTTTTTGCTTCCTTCCATGGGACTCAGCTCTGAAAGCCCTGACAATGGAATTTCAATAATTCTCAACAGCAGGCAGAGACAATGCCAAAGATCAGTATCTCGACCATCCTTCCATGTAATTTAGTCTCTCTTCACATTTCTTCCCTTCACCTTTTCCTTTCCTTGCTCCAAGGTGAAGGCCCTATTATGCCTTCATTCCCCTCTTCTCTCATGGCAAGAGGAGACCGTAGGGAAGCAATGTGGTGTCCTGGTTAGCAAAACCTGTTCAAATCCAGTCTGCCTTCCTTCCAAACTGTATAGCCATGGATAAGTTACTTAACTTCTCTGAAGCCTATAAAACAAGGATAATGCCATTTACCCCACAGGGTTTACAGTAAAGAGTAAGCTAAATATAACACATGGAAAAGCACCTAGTGGAGGCACTGACATATAGTAGGTACTCAATAAACATAATCCGTTCTCCTCTTACTAAACATATCATATTTCTTCCAGGTACCAAACCATCCAGAAGCCACAAGGTGGAGGGATAGGGGAGGAACAGGTTAGAGATCATGGATCCTTTCCTGGACCCCTCATTTAGTATCTCTCCTTTACTAGAGATAAGGGGATGGTAAGAGACAGGATAATTTTAATAAATGTTTCATAATGAAATGACCCACAATGGAATGTAGGAGTCCAGGAAGCTCTTTCGTGGGGCTGCTATTTAGAGGAGGCAGCACTGCTTATTGGCCCAAATCAGCAGATCCAAAAAGAAATTTCTTCCTTGTCTTTACATTACCTCCAACATGACAGGAGACAGGATAAACTTGCTTAGCCATTCTCTGTCTTCCAGTCTATCACACATCATCCAAAATCTCCCATAAAGGGTCCAAAGAACTCTGTTTGGAAACAAGCTGTCATGGCTGAGTATACTTTTTTCAACATGAGTTTCAATTAGGAAATTAAATAAATGTTATGAAAATACTACTTCCCTTAACCTCTCATACAGCACATGAAAAGCTTCATTAAACATTAAGCATCTTACCTTTACTTTTTCACCATTAATCTCCACTGTCTTAATCATAAAATCAACTCCAATTGTGGCTCCTTGACCTGGGGGGAAAAGACCCTAAAGAAGAAAATGGAAAATAACAGTTAAGCAAATCTTCCAATTAAATGCAATCCCTCCCTGCCCCACTCCCCCCAATCCATCGCCAGGTCCTTCCTTCGGCTCAGTTAACTGGTAGAAAAGAGAACTCTGGTGAGTGGCATGGGAGCCCTGTTAAACTTTGTATGTATGTCTTGAGGGCAAGAGACAGGAGGGAGAAAGTGGGAGACAGAAACGCTAAAATGAGAAGAAAGAGAAAAGCAGGCAAAGAAAGGAAGAGACAGGGTGAAGGACAAAACTGGGACAGGACAGGGGGGACCAGAAGAATGAACCAGAAAAATTAGCCACAAGGGAAAGAGTGAGGCACATGTAGCCATAGGGATGACTGAAGTTGTCAGGGTAGGGGCAAAATGGAAAGGTGCTCTAAAAGAGGTAAAATCGAGGGAGCCGAAAACTGGTTATCTGTCTTGGGCATGGACAGCCAAGGAAGTGGGCAACCATATGAAAAAATAAACAAGAACTCAGCATGAGAAACAACAAGAAGACAGTGAAGCTTCTGAATTTTCCTCTGCCCTGAGGGTGATCACTGTTTTCCTCAGAGCAATGTACCATGCATATATAATTACATGGGATCTGGACCAATGACACTGGGAAGATAATCTAAGAAAATAAAGTTATTAGGGAGACTGTAGAGTAGAAATAGTACTAGACCAGAGGCAGTGGTCTTAGGATCTCTGTGTGATTTCAGACAAACCACCCTCTCTGGGCCTAAAATTCAATGAGTTTAAGGCTGATATAAGTTATCTTAAAACCAAAAAAAAAGCTTTACTTCAAACTGGAAACTTAACCAGAAAAATGGTAGCAAAATTATAAGTATAATGTAATTTGCTATTATATATTATTTCCTATAAGCTTAGGGAGGGAGTTGGAGGTAGCAAGGAATTCTATCAAGAAAGAACTCTTAGCCAGCTGCGGTGGCTAGCGGCTCACATCTATAATCCTAGCACTCTAGGAGGCTGAGGTGGAGGATTACTTGAGCTCAGGAGTTCAAGACCAGCCTGAGCAAAAGCAAGACCCTATCTCTACTAAAAACAGAAAAATTAGCCAGGCATCATGGCATGACCCTATAGTTCCAGCTACTCAGGAGGCTGATGCAGGAAGATCCCTTGAGCCCAGGAGTTTGAGGTTGCAGTGAGCTACGATGACAACACTGCACCCTACCCAAGGCAACAGAGTGAGACTCTGTCTCTGAAAAAAGGAGGGGGGGCGGGCAGGGATTGAACTTCCATCAAAAAAACCTCCATCAAAAAAAATTAAAAAAAAGAACTGTCCATCCAGTTTCTCCTCACTCTTCACTTATATTCCAGAATTTCCAGAAATTAAAGTAAAATGGACTTGATTCGTTTTGGCAGCTAAGATCAGAGTATCTTTAATTAGGAATTTTCTAATTAAAGTTTTAACTTAAAAGACTGAGCTTCAAACCAAAAGAAAATGTTCCATGTCTGCAAAAAGATGTAAATATAAACATTCATAACTTTACTTACAAATATTGAATTCATTTTCTTCTGTTTTGGCTTGGCTCAGATACAAGGCTGCCAAGCTTCAAGTTTATAGTTCCAGCTGTTTTGCAGCTCAACAAATACCAAAATATAAAACAAATCCTTCCCAAAGTTTCCTCTACCATTTTGTTCCCCAACCCCTCATGCCACAAAAACAGCTGAATCCAATTCATTTTAACTGTCTACTAAATAACAAACACAAACATAATCCTGCCTATGAAATACAAACTTATAATAAGGGAGTTGAGGGGCTGAGAGGGGTAAAAAGTAGACAGAAAAAGGAAAAGAAAAACAAGAGTGCCTGTTGGTAAAAATTACTGCTTAAAAACGGAGGCATTTTCACCCTTATTGACAAGGTTTGTGCTTTTACAGAGAATGGTCTTAGATGTTAGAATATGCAGGAGATGGAAATTATCAAGCTGGGAACCTGGAGACCTGAGTTCTAATCCTGGCCTTGCCACTAGCATGATGGAAGATCCTAAACAAGCCATTCAATCCCTCTAGTTCTGAGCTCTTCACCTGTAAAATGAGAGGAGTGGGTTAAATAATCTCTAAGTGACCTGTCAGTACTAAGGCAAGGAACTTTTGATAAAGGGACTGAAACTTAATCTGCATCTCTACAGACTTGTCCTTCTGTCAAAAGCAGAAAAGACTACTAATGTTAGGTGGAAGTGAAACCAGGTGGCGTTTCCAATACATCTCCACGGTGGCTGACTGACCCCAGATGCCTGTTAGCTTGTTACTTTTGATTTCACCAGGCCAAGGCTTAGTAAAAACCAAGGCATTGTATTCTGTGTTCACTCATCATGGGAAAAACTGACATTTCCACAGTGACTCTGGATCCTAAAGCTGTTTATGCGATTCAATCTGCCTCTCTAGTTTTCCACAGAACCACAGACCATCAGAACTGGAAGGGGCCTTGGAGCTCACCCGGCCTTTCATGTGCAGCAGAGCAGGGAGGCCGGGAGGAGCTTACCCAGGCTCACCGGGTGAGCCATGGCAGAACCGGGACTAGGACCCGAGTCTCAACTCTCGACACAGGTCTCTTTCCATGGCACCAGGTTGCCCTGTGCTCTAGATAGAAGAGCTAGACTCAACTTTCCCAATGAGCACTTTAGGAAATGCCAGATACATGCACGATAGTCCTAAAAAGGGCACTATTTATATTTTTCAGGGGAAAACAGAAACGAGGTCAACTTCAGAATGATTTCTCACTAATGTCTATATAAAAAAGGTATATAATCTCTGGCAGTGATTCTCAAAAGGCCAGCCCCAAAGGGAACTTCTACTTAGGTCATATGATAAGGATTCAAGCCAGGAGGAACAATCGATTCTGTTCAGATAACACTTCACTGTTCTCATTTCATTCCCATTGAAGAGATTTAGAAAATATGCATATTTGATTCTACACTAAAATGATTCACTCAGCTTCCCAGGAGGTTGTAAGGGGGCACAGGCAGGGAATTTGATTGATTTAATTTTTATTAGAGTTTTTTTAAAAAGCATAATATTTAAGTTCAGTTTGATGTCATTTGTTTCCAAATTTGGATTATTATTAACTAACTATCTATTTTTGCTCTGATAACTTATTTTTGATACTGTATGTTGAAAGCAAAACCACTTGCCCCTTTCATTAAAGGAAGCAAGAAGAGGCATGGGGCCAGGCGCCATGGCTCACACCTGTAATCCTAGCACGTTGGGAGGCTGAAGTGGGAGGACTGCTTGAGGTCAGGAGTTTGAGTCCACCTACCCTGAGCAAAAGCCAGACCCCATCTCTACTAAAAATAGAAAAAAGAGCTGGGCATCATGGTCCACACCTGTAGTCCCAGCTACTCAGGAAGCTAAGGCAGGAGGATCGCTTGAGCCCAGGAGTTTGAAGTTACAGTGAGCTAGGATGACACCACTGCACTCTACCCAGGGTGACACAGCAAGACTCTGTCTTAAAATAAAAAGAATAAAAATAAATAAATAATAGTAGAGGCTTGGTATGACCCACACAGCCATGCTCCCTTGAGGTGGTTTGAAAGACTGTAGTCTAGGCTATAATGTGGATGCAGTGTTTAAAGGGTACATTAGGAACTCACAGCCATCAGACTGGCACTAGGAACAGGTCACCCATCCCAACAGATTTTCCTAACCCTGCAGGCTAGACTGAGAAATCCAACTCTGGACTTCCAAGTTCCCTTACCTGAGTGAATCGTCGGACCAGGCACGTCTTCCCCACACCGGCGTTGCCAATTAAAACAATTTTGAACAGGAAATCATAATCTTCCATACTCATTTACACAGCTGCAAGGCAAACACAGGAAAGAGTGAGGGGCACCGGCAGACTTGCCCCCAGAGCTCAAGTTGCGCCAGCGCTGTCTCCTCAGGAATGACAGACCTGACTCATTTAAAGAGCTATTTAATTCTCCCCTCTGGTGACCCTGCCAGCGAGAGGAACACAGGTGTTCAGTCACAGGCGGACTTTATTCCTTCCCAGCTACCTCATGCCACAGAGCGCAAATGACACAGATGTCCTTTCACCTGGTAACCTTTATTCCTCCATGCAGTCAGGTCACGGGTTGCTCCTGTGATAGGATCTGTTTTCTTTTTAGCAGGGAAAGGAGATTGCAAAGCTATGTGTAGACAAGCTGGGGATGCACAAAGCAGGACCAAGCAGAGCCCACCCAGAGCTTAAAGGTAGTTTATGGGGTGTTTATGCCTCTGGGAAGAAGTGCTAGCGACTAGGAGACTGAGGGAGGGGAAGGAACTAAGAAGGGCCCTTTCAGTCTCCAGCAAGTCCTGGAGGTCTTGGGGTCTTACCAATGGGACTCGCAGCCATCCTTCCCCTCCATCATCATCCCATTCCTATACACCTCCTGCCAGGCATGCCGACGCTACACGACCTCACAAAGTACCTGCCTTTTCATTCCTATTGTTTTGGTATATGCCACTTTTTCTGCCTGGGATGCCCTCTTCTACCTGTTTTGCATCCTTGACGGCCCAATGCAAGCATCCTTTTCTCTCTGAATCTTTCACTGATCTTCCCCCCCAAAAAAGTTAAATACTTTCACCATTCCTCTGTCCTAAAACTTCACTCACTGTATACAATTATTTGTTCAAGCGTCTTGAGGGATGGGATTATGTCTTGTAGCTCTATTTTCCTAGCCCCTGAGACAGAGCTACACTTAGTAAAATATCTACTCTATACAAGGAAAAATTAATTAATGGGCATATGGCTTATGCGTAGGCCTTAGTTTCCCCAATTGTGCTAAAAAGAATACTGTGAGCTCTGTCTACTTCAGAAGGCTGTTGTGAAGATACAAAAAGAAATCTTACAAAAGAGCCTTGGCATACATAAAGCCCTATCCTGGTAAAGCAACTGTTAATCTATTGAGTGCCTACTATCCTATTGTGCTAGCAGCGTAGGAAATACAGAGAGGAAACAATGTCAGTCCTCAAGGCCAATATGAGAAAAGTTAAATAGCAACAAAAAAGTTAAGTAGCAATTTGAGCCAACAGCAGAACTCATTTCATAAGGTGTAGGCAGAACAGGCCCAAGAGACTCTGGAGAGAGAGGAAAATGACACCCATGAGCTCAGGAGGGAAGGGTGCTTGGGAGCGTTAGAGAAGCCTCAGGGTCCCTCCTACCAGCAGACCTGAAGCTCAGATAACTGCAGGCTGCTGGGCCCAGAGAGGACAGCCCACCACGCTGAACTATCAAGTAGCCAGGGGACTCAATTCCCTGTGTGCAAAGGTGACTTCCATGTGGATTTCAAATGATCCTTGGAAGAATGACTAACAACCAAGCCAACATGCAAGCAGCAGCTCGTGGGGTTCCGTCTCAGTTCACTGGGACTGTGAAGGAAGAACATTTCTCTGCAAAAGAACCTGGGTCCATAGCAGTGGCAGCACTAACTAAATGTGAGGCACTATACTTGGCCCGTTACGTACATTTCCATTTGTTTTTGCAAGTGTATAAGGCTGGTATTTATTAACATATTAGCTATTTTACAAGTGAGTAAACTGAGGTTAAAGGAAATTAAGAGGGTGGCCCGAAATCATAAGACTTCAAGTTCCAAAGGTATATGGTGTCATCAGTACGGAGCCAGAGAGGCCTAGGTTCAAATCCTGGCTGTACTACCTTCTAAGTGTGTGCCTTTCGGCAAATGACAGTATTTCAGAGCTTCAACTTCCTCATCAACAAAATGGGGCTAATAACACCTATACCGCAGATTTGTGATGCTTGAAAGAATTCATGGAACCCCCCCAAGAACAGCACCAGGCTCTTAGTCACCCAAACTCCTTAATACGACTCCCAAGTTTTCTATGATCTGGTTTCTGCCTTCGTTGCCAGCCCCATCTCTCAACACTCTCCTCATAGCCCACAATCCAGGTTCACTGGGTTTCTTCGACTACTTAAATACTACAGGATTGGTTTTCTTCTCACAGCTTCACTATACTGTCCTGTACAGAACACAACTGGCACTTGCCACGCCCAGGCCTCTTAACTTTTACTCCCCCTTTAGATCTCAGCTTAAACACCACTTCCCCTTGTATGCTTCTCTGACCTGTGAGGGGGCCCAGCCTCCTTGCTCTCTGCTCCCACAATGTGCTCCTCCCCTCCTGTGGTAATACTCACCATGCTTAACTGTAATCAATTATTTATATCTACCTCCCCAACCCCATCCTTTAGCATCTCAGGACTACACACACACACACACACACACACACACAAACACACACACGACTATGAGCAGTATGAGGCAATGAAATGTCTGGTTGAGTCCCAATCACACCCTCTGCCTGTCATCATCATTGTCATCATTGTCACTATCATCTCACTCTACAATAAGTCATTTAATTCTCACAACAGTCCTGTAAGGTGGATACTACACTATTAGTATCCTAACTTAACAGATAGGTACCAAGGCACAAGAGAAGTTAAATAAAATTCATAGGGTCCCACAGCTGACAACTGGTAGAGCTGAGATTCAAACCCAGATAACCTGGCTCCAATACCCATGTCCTTGAACTATACCCTACAGTGCCTTTCACAATGCCTGGATCACAGGAAAGGCACAAGAAAGATGTGATGAATTGAATGACAAAGGACTCAATAAATGTGATTTCCCTTTCCTCTTCCCCTCTCGCTTCACACACATAATTCTTCTACCACACTGTAGTAGTTTAAGCATCAAACTCCTGATGAAAACTCAGGGATATGTGGTATGTCAACTAAAACTCGATAAAGCTATGACAAGTGAAAAGGACATAAAACTCACAGATGAGCACAAGGATAGCAGAAGACCAGAGGCTCTGTGGACCACGGCTCCCTTCTTTCACAAGCCATAAGAAGCAGGAAACACAGGACTGGACTGCATTCTTTTTCTGTGCCTATGCTGTTTGACAAATATTTATTTCTACTGCTTTGCCAGAAGTCAAATAAACCAAGCAGAGAATCCAGAGTAGAATGTCCAAATATAAAGACCAGAGAAACAGGGCTCCTGAGAGCATCTTTAGGCAAACAAGGGGAAAGAGAGGCTTTTCATAGTCAGCATTGTGTCATGTGGTAACCACCTGGAGCAAGCCACAGAATAAAAATGAAGACACTTCCCCTTTCTATAAGAAATTACTTTCATGTTCTGTTGAATGTTTTTTACATAAACCTCTGGAAAAAAATTGTTTGATCTCTTTAAAAATGCAGGCTGTCTATAGCTAAGGCTAGACTAGAAACTCCAGGTTACCAACAGGATGGGATTTACTGTCCTGTTTCTAACAGAAAACACATTACTGAATGAAAAGATCACAAGATTCTCTGGAAACTACTAATCTTTGAGGAAGCCATTCTGTTTGATCCATAAAGTAACAGCTCATGTATCACCAATCACCATGTGATAAGACAGCATCCTAGGCTGAGGAAACCCATTCAGAAGCAGACTGGCTAGTTACACCCAGCCCTAAAGTGAGAACAAAAGTCACACCTTATCTGCGGAGTAGACATGTCACAAGATATGCTACTGGCCAAACACCATCGTAGGATTTTATATTCTACTATTATTTTATATTCTACTATTATTAATAATGATAATTTATTCTATTATTGTTAATAATGATAATAGTGGCACTTATTCAATGTTTATTATGTGCCAGGTGCTCTTCTACATGTATCACTCATTTAATCCTCACAACAACCCTATGATGTAGGTATAATCATCAGAAGAGGATACTGAACAAGAAGAAACTGAAGCACAGAGAAGTTATCCTAAAGTCACACTACTTAGTCTTAGGACCAGGATTCAATCCCAGGTCCATCTGAATCCAAAGCCCAGGTACTTCTGCAACAGGATGCTGCTGCTGCCCCCTGCTATGTGGTTGGCATTGTTGCTGTATCTGTCATGAGGGCTGGAGGCTCAAATGAATAGATCCCCAAACCCCTTTGAACTGTGGTGTTCCAGAATGCCCCCACTCTGGAAGCAGCACACCCACATTGATAGGGTCACATGCTGACTCCAGATAACACAATGATCATATAATGGGAGGCACTGCCCCTCACTGTGCCCCCCAGCTCAGGTCTCCTTCAGGAGCTGGACTCAGACTTTTTCCTGCATACCACTCTCACAGTTCAGTCATTACTCATCCATGTAACTAAGTACCAGGCACAGGGGATATAAACAGAAATGCTGCTTGGAAGAGCATGCAAAATCCCAAATATCATAATCACCACAATAGTTCTAAATAATGGATATAATGCATAAGATTCAAAAAGGAAAAAATAGATAAGAAAAAGGAAAAAATGAATTTCAAAAAGATACAGGTACTAGGTTGATCCTGCCATAAATAAATAAATAACAATATAAAAAGATACAGGAAATGAAATCTATTATGAAAAGCTTAAAAAACAAAAACCATTCTAAGCAATATCAATTTGGTAACATAAACTCTTTTTAAAAAGTGGCTTAAAAAAACATATTCACTGTTGCACATCTGTGCGTCTTTCCCTTTGCCCTTTGGGGCTCAGTATAACAGATAAAGTCAGAGAGGCCAGATCCTCTCCCCCCACTTTCTGACACCCCCCAGTCATGCCTCCCAAAATATTTTGGTAGCTTGTCCTTGTTCAAAAATTGTGTCGCAGGAAGGTCCTTTTCCCTTTTAGAGCCTCAACTTGGTGTATAAACAGAAGGCTTGGATGACCAGGCATCAAGGCACTTTACACATCAGCAGGTGTGGACATTCTCTCCTACCAAAGAGGCAGCCTGTGTGAGGAAACCAAGAGACCCAGGTCTATTACAGAGCACTGGGTAAAG